ATATGTATATACATACACACACACACTAATTAATTTTAAAGGTAGCTCAATAGCCAAATGATCTTCGCTTCTTTCATATGGGGTCTCTCAAAGTCTAAATACATATAAAGAAAAGAATTCACACTTCTAGCATTTTCTATAGCCCAAGAAAAATTTCTGAAATTTTTCCAGCACTGAATTTTCGTATACAAACTTAGTTTCTGAATTTGTACCGTGAGCAATTATAGTATGTTTTCATATATCCAATTCCAGAAAAAAAATCAATTTACCTGCTCTTGTCAAACCCAACTGAGATTCTCACAGGATAGCTCCACTGGGCTTGATCTTAGCTTTAAAGGTACTGCCAAGAATACAAGCAATACCCCAAATCCCAAATGTGAAATACCAGGCTATACAAACACCCATTCACTTTTACAGGCGTGTTCCTACCCTACTCTAAACTCCATCCCACTACTAGAAAAAATATATAATCCTTTAACTAATCTCTCCATTTCTCACAAAAATGCTTGTTCCTTCCTGAAAGTTTATCTTTTTGGATATTGATTTTTTTCGTGAAAATGTGGAGTATAAAAAATGTGAGACAGTGGTATTAACATTTGCATTAATGGTCTAAGCGTTATTCTTTCATTCTACAAATCCTTACTGAGTGCCTACTGCTCCTCAGTTTTATGGACTGAGCATTACATTAGTGTGTAAAAAAGCTAAAAACCAAATCACGGCTCTCGTGCAGTGTATGTTCTAAAGGACCAGCACCGGACCCAAGGTGCCTCGCTGGCCTGCTGAAGGCAGTGCTCTGGGAGGCGGAGCCCCTCGCTGGCCTGCTGAAGGCAGTGCTCTGGGAGGCGGAGCCCCTCGCTGGCCTGCTGAAGGCAGTGCTCTGGGAGGCGGAGCCCTCGCCCCGCCGTACCTGATCAGCCTGCCGTTCTCCACGTAGTACTGCACGCGGAAGTGGATGATCATGGGAGGCCCGAACTGATCAATCCCCTGGAACGAAGACACACGGAAAAATCAGGCTACTCCTAATTATCTCAAAAGTGGGTTTCAGAAGCAACTGACAATCCTTTGTAAGATACTTTTTAAACACTGAAAGGTTTTATTTTATCTCCTAGAGTGAGTGAGGGCCCGTCTGCAAGCCAAGTAAAACTAGACAGTTATACAGCAAACGGGGCACTGTCCCCACCAAACTCTCATTCACTGCAATGCCAATGACAGCAGAAGGGAAGATAAAAATAAATGCCAGGAAAATTTCTAGCTGAGCCCCAGCTCCTCCTGCAGCTCCGTCCCCTGTGGTGACCATTTGCTCCTCATTACAAATGTTCTCTTGTCTCTGACATTCCACATACTGAATCCTACTATGTTGTTTATTTAGATGTTCATGTTCTTTATTTGTAACTGGCTTTGAAGTAGGCTTCTAGTTTATTCCAAGAATTCTTAAATATAAATCAGAGGACCTAGGATTATTATTCCTAACTTACTAGGATGGATCTTGGAAACCCCAGGTAAATTCCCTGTGAATGTTCTTCCATGTAAACGGGACAGATATTTACTAAATACAGGCAAGAAAATAACAAAGGATCGAATGCAGGTGGTAAATTTGATAAATACATCTAATAATTTTTAGAACATTAGTTTTGACAACAAGCATAGCCACAGGAGAGGCACAAATAATTTGTTTATACTTTTCACTTCCAAGTATTAGCCCCAAGATTATGAAAAGTTGTCACACAACATTATTTCACAGGTATGTGGAGTGCACAGCACACACTACAAGCTGTTAATACTTGATGGCTGTGACATCTCAGAACCTATACTTCACTTCTTGTTCCCCTTCTCGACTGTATAAATTACTGCTGTAGATTTTTCCTAATGTATAATAACAGCTAAATTAAAATAGTTTTGCTCATAAATGTAATCTCACCCAAGGGACTTGGTATTGGCATACCTTGCTGGCCTCTTTCTTCCACTCTTTTGGACAATACTTATAAAGCTTTTGCGACAACTCCATATACACATGTTCATTATCTGCACGTTAAAAAAGGAGACAAGATGCTAAAGGAGGAACAGATATTTTAAAGAATAACAAATAAACACGTTTCTTTCAAAGCTTCAAGATTTGTGAATGTACTCGGAATTCAAAGACTCAAGAAAATTCAGTAAGATGCTAAAAGATCAAAGGTCCTGGTCATTTTTCTTCCTTCTAAATTTCTTTTTTTTTTTTTTTTCTGAGATGGTATTTCACCTGGGCCTTGAACTCCTGAACTCAAACAATTCTCCCACTTCAGCCTCCCAGGTAGCTCGGATCACAGGCATGTGCCTCTTGTGCCTGACCAGTAATGACATTCTTTATGCATTACTTTGCTTTTGCAATACAGAGCACACACTATTAAATATATTTAGAAGAAACGCTGGTTTCCAACTCCTGCTCTTTCTTAGTTTCTGGGGTCATTAAGATTTACAGTCTAATTTCCAACACTGTGGGTATTAGTCTTAGAAAAATACACTTTTGGTTACCTCACAAAAGACTGAACTCATAGGTGCAAAATTGTAAAGCAGGGTAGAAACAGCCACTTAACTGCTACACAAGAAATTAGAAAATAGTCACAATATCAGCACATTTCCAAGTGAAACAAAGCCTGACCCCCTACTCCGTAAAGAAAAATCTTTAAAACTATTTCTTCCCCATGTTCCCACACATCAAAACACAACATGACCAAATGATAAACTATTACTCAAACTGATCTCATGGAAAGAGAAGAATCTTATAAAAAATAAGCATGAATTCAAAAAAATCCCTTCAAGGGGGTGACGTTCCTAAGGGGAACAGAAAGCAACGCTGCTAACGCCCGGGCAGAGATGACCTGAGCATGACAAGGAGCTGGTAAAAACAAACCCGTCCAGATTTCCCAGAGAACCTTGAAGAGACGTACTTCACAAGAGAAGCCTGCAGCATTCTTGAACAAAGTTTTTTAAAACATTTTTTCAAACTTATTTTTCTCTAATCACTGCTAAAAGGGGATCCTCATGGAAAACTCTGCATAAAAACGTACTCATTCTGGAAGGGAAGTACGTCCCTCTGGTCCTCTGAGGATAAGCACACTTTGTCACTTTGTGACTCCAGCTGAATAGGAGTTGTCTGGAGAAACGTCAGTGGAGACCAGGAAGGGTAAAGCTGCTTTTTTGCTATAGATTGCACATGAAGTCAGGCAATTTGAGTGAAAGGGATAATAAGGGAAAGATCCCAGGAAAAAACGGGGTGGAGGAAAGCTACTTAAATCCAGTTCTCAGGTCAGCAAACGCTATCTGCCATCTCTCCTTATTAAACATGGAACGGGCAAGGCCAGACAATCTTCCTGGTGAAACTGATTTGCGTCTGAGTTCCCTCCCATATGAAAGGCAACATAATGAACTGAACTGAGACTATTCACCACAATAGCACATCTATATTTCTAAACTATCCCTTTATCTCTACCACATAGTTTGACCAGAGCTTTATACCTTAAGAATTCTTAAGTACACACCACTCCTCAAAGCCAGTGGAGCAGTAATTTCTATACAACATGTGAAAAAAAACCAAAACTCTGACACTGAGAGTAATCAGGTACGGTGTCCAAAGCCACACTGCTAGTTAGTGGTAGAACCAGAATTTTGAACCAGGTCATCTGATTCCTATTCCTTCACCATGGTATAATCTCTTTCTTAAAAAGGATACCTTAACTCTTATTTTGAAACATAAGGAAACTGTAAACTGGTTTTATTGGACTGACTTGTTGAACAACAAGGATCAACAGTCTGGCTGTAGCTGTAGTAAGAACCAACTTCGAGCGTAGCGAGTGACTTAGCATCTGGAGGGCATCTTAGTGCGCCCAGATCCTTCCTTGATGGGATGGCTGAGTTGCCTACTGACACCAGGAAGGAGCTCAGCGGTGGTGTTTTTACTGCTTTAACTGCCCAGGAAGAAAGTGGTGAGCAAATGGCTGGTTCAAGGGGCCTGCTGGCTCCTGCTCCATGCTCTTTGGCCTTCCCTAATAAGGCAACTGCCAACAGTTCACATTTTGGAGAAGGAGCCTTGTTTATTAGCTGACCATGACACTTTTCAACCAGGTGACTGTAAGCATTTTATGGTACTGACCAGATCCTCAGCTATTAAGCCTTTAAACCAATTCTAGTAATAGAAAACAACCCACATTCAAGTATAAAATATAATTAAATATACTTCATTTATCTTCTTGATATAATACGCAAAAATACTAAGTTTTTGGCATATAGAAGACTAAATTAGAGAAATTTTAAAAAATATTATTTGAAAGAAGAAAGCTTGTAAAGAATGGCTGCAGGTTAAGTCCTAGGAATCTAACTCTAACTACAGTGTTACAGGGGAAGAAAGCTCCAATGAAATCTTTTACTGAAAACATCTCCACATTAAACATACAGAAAAAACTGACTCTATTGGCTTGGGGCCTGTAGGTCAGTGGCTAGGGTGCCAGCCACATACACTAGAGGTGGCACATTTGAACACAGCCCGGGCCTGCCAAACAACAATGGCAACTACAACCGAAAAACAGCCGGGCATTGTGGTGGGCGCCTGTAGCCCCAGCTATTTGGGAGGCTGAGGCAAGAGAATCGCTTAAGCCCAAGAGTTTGAGGTTGCTGTGAGTTATGATGCCATAGCACTCTACCGAGGACAACACAGTGAGACTCTGTCTCAAATAAACAAACAAACAAAAAAAGACCCTGACCCTATAATTTCAAAGTCATGTAGTCTGACTGGAAAAAAGAGAAAGGGTAAGAGACGAAAAAGAAAATAAGATCACATGAATAGATCACTTTATGATACTGCACAGGAAACAGCAAGAGAACTTGAAAAGAGGAAAGTCAGTCTAAGGTTAAAAATGAGACAAGAAAGTAAATTACAAATATATCTAGGATATTTTCTACTGGTTCCAGCTGTTCCCTGTTTACAAGGAAACAAAAACCAAAGTTGGTTCATTAAAACATGAAAGAGCAAACATATAAAAACCAAGTTCCTAAAGAAGAATCAATTTTTAAGTTCAAATTATAATGAATACAGGGCTTATCTCCTAAATCTTGTAAGAAATACACAGTAGATGATATTAAAAAATGAATACTAGGGCAGCACCTGTGGCTCAGTGAGTAGGACGCCAGCCCCATATACCAAGGGTGGTGGGTTCAAACCCAGCCCCAGCCAAACTGCAACAACAAAAAAAATGGCCGGGCATTGTGGCGGGTGCCTGTAGTCCCAGCTACTCGGGAGGCTGAGGCAAGAGAATTGCCTAAGCCCAGGAGTTGGAGGTTGCTGTGAGATATGACTCCATGGCACTCTACCGAGGGTGATAAAGTGACACTCTGTCTCTAAAAAAAAAAAAAAAACAAAGAACACTAGACTAAAATGTCATTTCCTCAGGGACAGGTGGTGACACCCATCAGAGATGGGACTAAGACTTACTTTGTATAACGCTGAGTCCAAAGAGGTGACAGTCCTTTAGCCTAAGCAGGTCACAAACCTGGACCAGCAACTGGTGACAAAGAATTTTAACCTGTAAGGGGAAAAAAAACATGATTGAGGTAACAATATGACTAAGTCCACATAGGGAGCCACAGCCGGGCCATTTAAATATTATAAATAGACGTCTTGAAAGGACAAGCTGACACCAGAAAAACTACGACTGGTTCACCGAAATCACTTCGGTCCACGGCTTTGATTCCCATTTTTCCCACATGCTCATAACGCATCAATGTGATCTGGCATGAGACTCTAAAACTTAGTGATACACAGACAAGACTGAGCCCAGACCACGGGACGTGATAACTGAGTATTCAGCAGTTACTGAGAACAGCCTGCTCAGATTACCAAGGTATTCACTTGGCGATTACCTTCTTTTCAAAAACTTCTAGTCACTTATTTTTTAATGAACTATTAACAATTATATATATATACGTATTTATGGTCACGATATGATGTTTTGATATATGTAATGGAATGGCTAAATCAAACTAACATGTGGATTAACTCACCTATCTTTTTTTTTTGGTAGTGAGAACACCTGGACTTCACTCTCAGCAACTTTCAAGCATATATAATACATTGTAGGAACTATAGTCTCCATGTTGTACAACGGATCTCTTGAGCTTATTCCCAGCTGAAATTCTGTATCTTATGCCCCACATCTCCTGACCCCCTGGTAGCCACCATCCTCCTCTCTGCCTGTCTGAGTTAGAACACTTTCTTAGAGTCCACATTTTAACATCACTGAGGTCGGCCAGTGCTCTCTCTGTGTCTGGCTCATTTCTCTATTAAACATAACATCCTTCAGGTTCATCAATGTTGTCGTAAACAGCAGGCTTTCCTTCTCTTTAGGGTCTGAACTGTGTCCCCTGTGTGTCTACCCCCGTTTATTCACTGACGGACACGCCCACTGCCGGCGCGGCCTGACCGTGCTGGCCAGCACTGCAGTGAACACCTCCTCCCCATCACCAGCTCACCTCCCTTGGAGACACCCTGGGGTGGGACTCTGACCAGAGGGCAGACTGAGTTTTAATTGTTTGAGGCCTCCCTAATTCTCTGTAGGTTCCTCCCCGCCCTTCTTCTGTCCCACGACCCTGTTTTCCACCATGGCTGTACTCATTTGCGTTGCCACCAACAGTATACAAGAGTTCCTGTTTTTCTACATCCTCATCAACACTTGTTCTCTTTAGTCTTTTTATTTGACTTTATTTATTTATGTATTTTTGTGAGACAATGTGTCACTCTGTGCTTGGGCTGGAGTACAGTGATTCACTACAACCTCCAACACCCAGTCTCTCAAACTATCCTCCCGGTTCAGCCTCCCCGGCAGCTGGGACTACAGGTATATGGCACCACGTGTGGCTAGGTTTTTTATTTTTTTTGTAGATATGGAGTCTTGCTGTGTTGCCCAGATTATTCTGCGACTTGTGACTTCAAGTGATCTTCCTGCCTCAGCCTCTCACGGTGCTGGGATTATAGGTGTGAACCACCTCTGGCCTCTGCCTTTCTGACAGCCGCCCTTCTAAGAGATGTGAGGTGATGTCTCATTGTGGCTTTAATTTATATTTCTCTGATGATTAGTAATTCTGAGCACTTTATTTTATTTTTGCTTATTTTTATTTTTTTTAGCCTACTGGTTTTGAACTCCTGGCTTCGAACAATCCTCTTGCCTTAGCCTCTCGAGTAGCTGGGTGAGCATTTTCCCACGTACCACTAATTGGCTGTTCGTATTTTTCCTTTTGAACAATATCTACTTAGGGCAAGTAGTTTTTCAAAGGAAGTTTTTTTTTTTTTTTTGAGACAGAGCCTCAAGCTATCCCCCTGGGTAGAGTGCGGTGGCATCACAGCTCACAGCAACCTCCAAC